ACATAGCATAGCAACATCCTAAAACCAGGATGCAATCATAAAGGGTGGGCCTTGGTGCTGTAGACCCTGTAGATATAGTGAGGAGAACTCACCTGGCACTGCTGAAGTCCCGCAGAATAAACTCCAGCTGTTGGTTGACAGATTCCCGAACTGTCAACATCAAACAATACCCAATTAATAATTGGGTTCCAAGCCCAAAGTCCAACTCACACTCCAAAGGCCCAATAGTCAACCAATGGGCTAAATCCCAACATATGGCCCAATTTTCCAAATTGGGCCCAGACCTCTACATGGTCTTTCCTTAAGGCCCGTTCAATTATTCTAGTCCAAACTATTTGTATTCCCATGGCCCAATATCACATAATCATAAAGGCCCAATTATGGCCCATCTATGGCCCAATTTCCAAATTGGGCCCAAGACTCTCACATGGGCCTTATCCTAAAACTCATACAATTATTTAGTCCATTTACTTATTCTTGAAAAGCCCATTAATAGTCCAATCACCAAAGCCCAATAGGAAGGCCCAACTCAAGGCCCAATTGGAATTAGGGTTTCACATAAAATGATGATTAGGGTTAAGTTTCCAACTTAACCCATTAAGGACTTAATCCACTAATGACTTAATCCATTAAGTCCAATATTGCTTAGATTAATCTTTGCCAATGATTATTATTTAATATTTCAAACTATTAAATAACTCCCGTGTGTGTGTCCCGATTAATTCTCAAAATTAGGGTTTTATTGGCATTAGGGTTTTCCAAACCCTAATTAGGGTTTCCAACCTAAATACTAGCCCATTTATCAATTTGTTGGGCTTTTAGGTCCATTAGGGCTTTATTGGGCCCATTAAGGTCTCATTGGGCCCACTAGGGTTTCTTTTGGCCCATTAGGGTTTAGTAGCCCCTTGTCCAAACATCCAAACGAGTCACAAACCAAACAAGGCACACCACCACCTGACACGGCGGCCGGTGGCGGCGGGAGGCGGCAGCCACCACCTCACGGTGGTGGTTTTAGGTTTCCTTTTCACTATTTCGATATGGTTACAATTTAAAATATCATCCAAATTCACACACACTAATAACACACACGCACACTAATAAACACACACACACGCAACCACCTCGTGGTGGCCGGTGGTGGTGTATGGCGGCAGAAGAGCAGCAACCGACCAATAGCCACCATGGTGGGCTGCCATGGTGGCTCCTAACGTTTCCGACCAGCTCATAAACACGCCCACATGCCGACACATACAGAACCATGCACACACACACGCACAACACCCACCGAGCATGGTGGCGGTCGGAACAGAAACGGCAGCGAGCATGGCGGCAGCAGCGGCGTTGACGGCGGCAGCGGCAGACGACAACGCTTTTGACAACGAGGTAGCAGGCGGCGTCTAACAGAAGAAGAGGAGAAGAGGGATCGGGGGCAGTGGACTTCGACCAACGACAGGGCTCCTCCCCTGCTTGCTTCTCTGGCAGCAGCGTCGCAATGGCGACCCTCAACAACAGTGGCGGTCCACAGCAGCAGCTCCCGACGTATAGGGGTTGGCTCCGGTGATCTCCGTCTTCAATGGCGGCTAGGAAGTCACGAAGCGGCGGCACCCACGACACTAACTCCATCTCCCGATCTCTACTGTTGCAGCGTCCTTTCCCGGTTTCTTCCGGTGTGCGCTATTTCCGGTGACATGGGCCGTTCAACGGTGCTGGGTGGTCGGAGCCGACAACGGCGGCTGGAGGTAGAGAGAAACATGGAGAGAGAGTGGCGGCCGGTGGGAGTCATAAGGGGTGACGGCTGGAAAGGGTTTTGCTAGGGTTAGGGTTTCGTAATGCATATATACTCGGTCACACAAACACTTTGCCATAATGTCAAGATCGGCCCCTCCAACCAGAAATCATTTTAATATAAGTTTGCAAATTACCGTTTAAACCCTGCCCCTTGAATCCTTTACAAAACTAATCCAAAATGTTACCAATCAGCCCCTGCCTCCAAAAATCCTTACATATTAAGTCTAATACTTACCAAATAGCCCTTTAGCCTCCAAAATCCTTTCAAAATAAATCCCAAAATTACTATTTAACCCCCGAATAATCCGATTTATAACATTTGGCTTCCCAAAACCGATACCCCACTAAATAATATGGATTTAGGGCAATTATTCGTTTATCAATTTTATCTATTTATTTATTAATTAAACAGGATGTTAAATAGAAAGAGGAAAGCCAAGGTAAAAACTTGTTACCTTCAAACTGATGCCAATAAGCAGAAGAGTCAGATCCACCAGCTCCTTTTATTCTTCAATCCACTTATACTTCAAGCCTTCTTCTTCAAATTCACCTTCCAAGCTTGAAATCACACAAAATGGAGAGCACATTCGAATTAGGGTTTTAGAGCTCAAGGGGGCGGTGAGGGGAGGCCAAAGGAGGCTAATGATCCTTTAAATAGGGTGCTAGGCCCTGGAAATTAGGGTTTCATCCCCCAGCTCCAACTCGTCGAGTCGGGTCCACCGACTCGTCGAGTTGGTCACTTAAATGGCGCGGCCAAAAACGTTTCTACTCGACGAGTCATAGCATCAACTCGTCGAGTAGGCCCTTCATAATGCAAATAAAGTTGGTACCTGAAAATTGGGGCGTTACAATCTTTGTCATGTCATGTCGTGTTTGTCGGTTTTTAATTGGTTCGTTTTCGTGTTAGTTAAAAAAACACGACATCGTGTCGTGTTCTTGTTAAACAAAAAACACGGCACGATTGCCTGATTTGCCACCCCTAAGAGATAACTCGTTTTTCTGAAAACTACCTTGTCTAACAACTTCCAAAAAACCACCATCTCAAACTGCCGCTAAAACTGGGTCAAGATTAGGGTAGAAAACTAGGTTATTTTTCTCAAATTCGGATTTTAATGCATTTTCCACGAAGCAATATTAACCCCAAATAAAAAAAATTGCAATGCCCCTCAGATCCCGCCAGTGGTTGCCACCCCCTAGGACCCCACTATCAAGGGCGTTGTCATTGGACCCCGTCAATTTAGGGGCGAACCCCTAAATGACAGTGTACTTTGAATCTTGAATACATTCAAATAAATGTATACTCCGTACCAACCTAACTTTATTAGTATTTATCAAGATTGTATTGGTCATCAAATTAATCTCATTACACTTAAACGTTCAAAACTTTATGAATACCTATCATATAAGGCTTATGTGTTTTTCTGTGGACTTTGATCGGTAATACTACATGTATATTGTACTATTGATGTTTATATTTAGTTCATAACATCTGTAATTTGGACGGATATATTGCATAAAATTGTCTAATCGTTCTCACTATCCTCCATTACAAATATTGACGCTAATTATCTGATTATATGAACTCATTTTCAATAATCCAGAATGGATATTTCGGAATGTACGATGTTAAGGCCGAAATGGACCTCAATCTGACATGGTATATTCCGGCAAACCTTTATGTAGGATGGAAATGGGGCGGGTTTGGGGCGGGGTTGACCATCCTTGTCCCCATCCCCGAGTGTCTAACCTCGTCCCCATCCTCATCCTCATCCCCGACGGATGCAGTGAATCAAATCCTCTCCCCTTTGTATTTTGGGCTTTTCCCCAGTCCATCCCCGACCCATCCCCAATCTATCAACATAATAAACTCAACGTATACAAAAAAAGAAAAAGTTTAATAAGTGATCAAAACCATATGCCATAATTAGATTCTGGTTACATCAATCATAAAATTTAACAAGCATCAAAACGAAAAGTGACGATTTGGTATACAAATCGTCGAACAAGGTGACAGTTGATGAACTCTTGGAATTGAGAACTTTGGTATATGGACTCTATCTCTGATGGTCACTCTGATGGTCTAATATAGATGAATTCATTTTAGTGGACTTAATTCAAATTCAATAAATGATCGATATACTAATATATATATATATATATATATATATATATATATATATATATATATATATATATATATATATATATATATATCAAAGCGGGGGCGGGGTGGGTTGGGGATTGTTATACCTGGCCTCGGCCCCGTACCCGGTACCCGTTTTGGCGGGGAATACCCGTCCCCGATTGGGGCGGGTCAACCGGGTTCCCTACCGGGTCGGGTAAAATTTTCATCCCTAATTGTCTCATCAATAGTCCGAAACAATATTGAATACTCTAATCTGGCCCACTTCGAAGATCATGGTCAATTTTCAAAACAAAGAAACCATAGGTCATTTTCATTTAATAACTTTGTTCCTAATGGTCAATGATCGGTACCAGACCGAAAGTACCGAAATAACTAACTCATAGGTACCGAATATGGAATACCGGTACTGGAAGCAGTACCATTTCCCATCAGTACCGATTTTTTAAGAACACCAGCGAGATATGTTTGAAGCTTTGTAATTCAGCCAAAAGTTATCCAATTAAGTTGATTCTAGAGCCTAAATTATAGCCAATACAGAGAAGAATAAGCACGAAAAAGAATGAGCTCGTATGAGTAAGTTATGGCTGTCCAAGGATGACGAAAAAAAACCGTATAAATTTAAAATACCGAAAAAAACAGCAATATAATCCCCTATATAGGGAACTATAACTCAGCAAATAATTAGTCAAATAAGTTGATTCCAGAGACTAAAATATGGCCAAAATAGAGAAAAAAAAGTTCAGCTCATTCCGAGCTCGTATGCGGGAGATATGGCTGTCCAAATAAAAACTGCACAAACTTGAAATGCTGAAAAAACAGCAATATACTACCCTGTTTAGGGCACTATAACTCAGCCAATAATCATCTAAATAAGTTGATTATTCTAGCCAAAACAGAAAAGAATAAGCTCGAAAAAATTCTGCTCATTCACTTATCAAGAATAGTCCGGTACACAATAAGCTTTAGTTTATTTGAAATATCGACTCATATTGGAACTCTTACAATAACATTGTTGAATGTAACAAATATTAAATTAATCTAAAAGCGAAAAGTTTATTTATATAACCTTAGAATTCTGTATTTAGATAGAGTTGATACTTGTTAAAAATGTCATCACTCTTGGACGACAAAGTTAGTCATCCACACCTTTACATCGTGTACATAATAATATACATATACAAACTACACAAACCCCTTAAAGACCTCACATAAACATCTCTGAAACCTTATTGAGCTCAAAATCCAGGAGGTTCCGAACGGTTTTAAGGAAGTCGGCTTCGTTTTGTTCCAGGGAATGTCATCTTGTGAGCTTTCTGAACAATTTTCTCAATTACGGATTCCTTGTTTAGTGTTTCTCTACATAGAATACGCCCTATCGCGTAAGGACACAATCCTCTAGCCGCACCTTCTTTCAGAAGCATGGTGGAGATGCGTAGGGTTCGTGCACACTCGTGTGATAGGTCCCACCCATTTGAGCTCAAGAGGGCTAGATCTTGCTCCGCATCTAGTGATTTTATGTAGTCTAGGGTTCCATTTGAGAACGCTTCCCGGGCTTGTGGCCAATAGAGCCAATCAAACGTGCAATCTTCAAACTGAAAAAAGTATAAAAGACACCTAAATCACAATGTCTACAAAAGGTGGGCCCCACAATCAACATGGTATGTAAAGTGCATTGATTACCACATTTTATAACTAGGCCACTTAGGTAGATCAGTTTAGTCTAGTTTTGTCCTGTCTTTGTCTTGTCCTGTTGTCATGTCCAGTCTCTGGTTCTGTCCCAAACAATGATACTTACGTTTTCGGGTAAGCAGTAGCCATGATCGATAGGGATAAGAACAACACGGTCACCTTCACCTTCACGGTTCAAATAAAATGTTTCCCGCATGTCTATCGGCATTAGCGGTTCTTATATCAAACACTGCAATCTTATGAACCTCCTCCACCGGAAAATCCCGAGGACCCATATCCTCACAACTTCCACAATTTTTCATAAACATTTGTAAAGATCCAACCTTAATGTTTTTCGCTCCACCATCATAACCCTCCGGATGATTGAATTCTCCGTTTAAGCACTTTGCCATCACTGTCGGAGGTACACCTGCAAAACCACTCCTCCTCGGGTGGTGGTCCAGTATGTATGCCGCCACCTCCCGCAAAGCGCCTTCACCAACTTTCGTGCCACTTTTCAACCCTTCACCATTAGAGGTCACAGGTAGCCCTTGAGGGTTATTAATCGCCATTGGTTCTTCATCTATCGGCTTGAAAACAGCAACGTATCTGTTCCCGGATGGATGTTGCATAAAGTAAGTCCCTCCGGTGCCTTCTGATGATCTGATCGGTTTTTTCCCTTTCTCAAGTCCTTCGGTTGCAGAATCTATCATATTAGATATATCGGGGGATAATTTTGAATCTGGATTCACGATAATTGGTTGTAATGGAGAATCAATATCTGGTGGTTTCTTGGGATTCGTTTTCTGCTCGTCTTTCTCGTGATTTCTTTCGGGTGAAGATGATTTTTGAACAACTAAATGAATCACAGCATCGTGATTCTTACAGATATCATCAATCAGCTTGTGATCATCGAGCTTCTCACCGTTACAAAGAATTTTCAAGTCTTCGCCATTAATGAATCCAATTTCTTTAGCTTTTTCTTCCACAAGTTGTTTCAAGTACTTCACGTTTCTAAATCTATCAACCTCAAACTCGAATGCTTTCCCAACAGCGGTTTCAACGGTTATCACAAGAAGATCAGAAACCCTAAGAATCAGATGAAGAACATCACCGCTTGAAATACCGTAATCTTTTAGGAGAGAATTGTTTCTTGATAATTCTCTCCCTCCAAAAACTAGCTTCTGTTTCTTCACTATAAACCCTTTACATGTTTGAATCCTTAGTTTGACTGTGGCAATGGAATCGGATTCCATAATTCGCATCGGAATCACAGAACCTGCAACTGTCAAGTAAATCACGATGGATTCACTGCTCCGGAAACAAACGGAGCCGGATCTTTTGTGAATTGGACTCAAAGCAACGTCAGCAACTGACATTGTATGAATTTCACCCGCTTCTACCTTCTTTCTATCTTTTTTTTTAATAATTTTAATCAATAATATTTAACATATAATATTTACACAATCAAAATGGAGCTCGATGATTTTCAGATCTCCAAACGATCGATACGTAATACACAATATATATATACAAGAAAAAAATGAAAAGAAAAAAAAGTTTAGGTAAACGATGATTGTCAATTTCTGTATTCAGAAACACAAAAGAGCAAAACCCTAATGCCCTTTCGACAGAAAGACCCCAATGGATAACCTCAAATCAAAGGGCTCTTTTCCAATAGCTCGAAATTGGAGCTTTGAATCTTGAAACGATTGGAGTAAATATTATAGATTCAACAGTGAAAATCGAGGAAAACAGAGAGGATTAGGGAAACAATGGGGGATAGTGAAATTTTGAGGGTGTTTCTGAATGAGGAAACCTTTTTCCAACTCTGTGGATTCTTACCTGATTTGGAAAGAATCAAAAGCCCATTTGAAAAAAATCGCTGATCTTATATTGACCAAGAGGATGGATTGACGATGAATATTTCAGATTTTGTAAAAATGGTTACCAAAAATAGAAATGTGGGTCTCAATTTGGTCCGATCTTGTCGTCGGTCTTATGATCCAGTGAGGCCAGAGAGCACGAGATTATAGCCGTTGAATTTGGGTTTTGTCTTGACCTCAAATGCTAATTTTTTTATATTATTTATTTATTATTATTATTTTTAATTTTTTGGAACAGCCAATTTTTTACTAACTCAAGTCAAAATCAAAATCTTACTTAAGGTCGCTTTTCTTTTTGCAATATCGTAATCATAAGGGATTGAAAGATTATATTAAAATAAACTCATATTCAAATTTGATGGCAAGACGTCCATAATGGAATCAACTTTAATATTTTATGCATTAACCATATTTTTTTTTGCTACAAACCGTAAAAATTAAGGATAAAACATTTTAATTAGAAAACAAAATCAGTTTGATTATGTACAACTGAAGACATAAGATCACAAAGAGATTATTATATAAATTTATCTTATTACTAAATTTTTTTTATTATTTTGATTATATTTTTAATAAATCAATTATTTTTCTGCTTTTTTTCAAGTTTTAAAAAAATATTTTTACAGTTATTTTTTGATTGGAATAAGTTTGGTTTCAAAAAACAATCAGATCTTATATAGATGAATTTAAAACCAAATGTTTAAAAAATCGAATTGTCAAAATCCCTAATGGTTACAATGTACTGATTTTGGGTTTTCAAATTGATTTTTTTAGTTTTCGTTAATTAAATCGGTAAAATTTATGTATTCGTTTCGATTTCGTTTCTTAGGAAAGTTATTTTGTAAACAAAATGCAAAAGGATATGTTGAACATAAAAAAAACATAAGTAAAAATTTTGAAATGTTATAGAACTTTAAAGAAAGCTTGAAAACAAACAAGTAAAACAATTAATTAAAGCATAAAATATATATATATATATATATATATATATATATATATATATATATATATATATATATATTATATATATATATATATATATATATATGACAGAGAGAGAAAGCTAGGTTCAAATATTTCTAGCAATTATTGTGTGCATGAATGCACCAATAGGAATTTAGGAAAAAATAAATAAATAAATAAATCATTTAAGGGTATTATAGTAATCTTTACATATTTAATTATGGTAGATAATTAATATGTTTATGATTCCTTTAAATATGGGATGTCAAAGTCAAAATCTATTGAAAAAAACCGTAGCCGATTCTTTTTCTCTTTCTCTGGAATTCATCTTCACGCTCCAAAAAACACCACCGACATCAAAATTGAACCACCATTCAAGTTGATTTTTGTAATTCGTTGGTGAAGTCCAACTGCTGAATCGATGGTTTGAAGGTTGGTCTCTGCCACCAACGTAAGTTTATTTGATTTTTGATTTTTCTAAGTCTTGATTGCTTGCAATTCTTCCTCTGAATGCTACTGATTTACGATTCTTCACATGAATTTTTCATTTGATTTATTTTTATTCACTGAATTTCGATTCTTTGATTTCTGATTATCCTTCCTGTTGATTTTCCGATTTCATTAGTATACTCACTGTGCTCTCATTCTTCTTTAATTTTAAATATCCATCATTCAAGTTGATTTTGTAATTTAGAATCTGACTTAAATAATGATAGATTGTTTGTAACGACATGATTTTTCAAACAAAATTTTCCAATTTAAAATTCATAACAAATGTCACATCATTAATTCTCAAATACCAAACAACAAGTTTTCAACACAATTATTCAATCCAGGATCCACAATCATAGTTCAACATCAAGAGTGTGTGTACAATCACGCCGGTGCCTTCCCGCGATCCTCGGAAGTACCTGAAACACATAACACATAACATGGTAAGCACGAATGCTTAGTGAGTTCCCCAAAATACCACATACAACAATTCGCCACTAGAGGCTATACTCTGTACGACCCTCTGGTCAATGTGTCTCAGCGGGACCCTCCATTCCCGTAGCTCGTTGGACCCTCTGGTCCGGTCTAGCTCGTTGGACCCTCCGGTCCGGTCTGGTTGAGGACCCTCTGGCTTCATAATTCGTTGGACCCTACGGTCCGGTCTAAGCACAATAATATAGCATATAATACATATCACACAATCATGCATAACTCAAGCAAGCACATAAGAGCCTCTGGTCACACATAGATACCACCCTAGGTAATGTATAGTGAGAAGACTCACCTCGGGTAACTCGAAAGATCTCGAACTCGAAACACTGATCTAGCCTCCGCCTAATCACATACAAAAAATATCTCTACTTAATAAAAGCTCTCAAAGGCTAGACTAATCCCTTCCTATACTCTCTCAGAAGGGTAAAAGACCATTCTACCCCTCCAATGGTCCAAAAGTCCATTTGTTGACTAAACCCTAAAAGTCAACATAAGTCAACCCTAAGGAGTACGCGACGCGTACCAGACTCCTACGCTGGGCGTACTCGACCGCTATGCTGATATCGGGCTGATTGAGCCCTACGCCGCGCGTATTGGGATTTACGCTCAGCATACGTCCCAGTTTCACTGTTATCTCACTTATGGTCTTAATCAGTTAAGACCTTGGCTCAAAATACAGATCTGGACCCCCTACAGCCTCCTAATCCATAAAGTCGAAGACTTTACGCCTTTGCATGGCTGTAATGGTCATCATCATCCAAAACACACCATTTCCTTCACTAAAGAGCTCATATCTCATGCATGTCTCACTCCTAACATCCAAGATTGGATTTTTATGGATCTATAACTCTTTATACACTAAATATGGACAAATCAAGGTCTTATGGAGCTCCTTTACTCATAAAGTCTCCGCCTTTGGGACAAAAACCCTAGAAATGGTCCATAAAGCTCAAATCAAAAAGGTTGAGAAAGCTTTGAGCTTTTTACCTCCAAATGATGCTCCAACCTCAGAAAGTTCAGATCCAAAGCTTGCCCTCCAACTCTAGCTCCTTCAATGACACCTCTTTCTCTTCAAAAGCACACAAGAACACTTTCAAGCTCAACCACACTCACACTAGCTCTAGAACGAGGGTTAGGGTCACTTAGGGTTTTGCTCTCTGGAAATGGTGGCTAAAAGTAAGGCCATAATGTTCCTTATATAGGGCTCACCCCCAAAATTAGGGTTTCAATCTGAACCTAGTACGCCCAGCGTACACTATGGTACGCCCAGCGTACTGGGTAGACTCCGCGTCAAGAATACGCTCATGAGTACGTACAGCGTACTCTCCCTTACTCCCAGCGTACTCGAAAGCCAAACATTCTATTCAAGGACTAATTTTGGCAACTTGAGGAAAGAAAAGGATCAAAGAGATATACCTGAATTCCGGGATGTTACAATTCTCCCCCACTAGAATCAGACTTCGCCCTCGAAGTCTTGTTCAGCAAATAACTCAGGGTACTGCTCCCGCATATCCGACTCCAGTTCCCAAGTCAAATCGGATCCCCTCCGATGTTGCCACTGGACCTGAACCAGGGGCACTTCCTTGTTCCTTAGAACCTTCACTTTCCGATCTAGGATCGTGATCGGCCTCTCGATGTAATTCAGGCTCGCATCCACCTGAATATCCTCTAATGGCACTACTGTCGTCTCATCAGCCACACACTTCCGCAACTGGGATACGTGGAAGGTGCTATGGATCTGGCTCAACTCCTCGGGTTTCTCATGCTGATATGATACCTTGCCTACCCTGGCAATCACCCTGAAAGGTCCAATATATCGAGGCCCCAACTTGCCCCGCTTCCTAAACCGGATCACTCCTTTCCACGGGGAAACTTTCAGAAGCACGAAGTCTCCGACCTGGAACTCAAGCTCGGATCGACGTCTATCCGCGTAACTCTTCTGACGACTCTGGGCCGTTTGCAATCTCTGTCTGACCTGCTGAATCTGCTCGGTCGTCTTCAACACTATCTCAGTGCCGCCCATAACTCTCTGCCCCACCTCCCCCCAACAGATGGGAGTACGACACCTCCTCCCATAAAGAAGCTCAAAGGGAGGCATACTGATGCTCGGGTGATGGCTGTTGTTATAGGAAAACTCAGCCAAGGGTAGATACGAGTCCCAACTCCCACCGAAATCCATAACGCATGCTCGGAGCATGTCCTCGAGCGTCTGTGTCGTCCACTCACTTTGTCCGTCTGTCTGCGGATGGTAGGCGGTACTAAAATGCAATCGCGTTCCCAACTCCTCATAGAACTTCTTCCAAAATCTGGAAGTAAAACGCACATCCCTATCCGACACTATGGACGTCGGCACTCCATGCCGAGCTACCACCTCTCGCACATAAATCTCTGCCAGCTTCTCAGCAGAAGATCTCTCACTAATAGCAAGGAAGTGAGCACTCTTCGTCAACCGATCCACAACCACCCAGATCGCGTCAACTCCACGCGTCGTTCTCGGTAATTTAGTGATAAAGTCCATCGAGATCTGCTCCCACTTCCATTGGGGA